TCAAGGCCAGGCGGGATGAAGCCTTGAGCAACCTGCTCTGGTAGGAGGTATCCCTGCCCATGGCAGGGGTTGGGACTGGATGATCTGTAAGGTCCATTCCAACCCCTGAAATTCTATGATTCTATGGTTAAAAATCTTGCTGCAAATACCCAAAAGAACTTAACTATGAGAGAGCAGAGCTCAGGAGGGAGTTGGTTGGCAGCCCTGGGAGTGCATTAACCACCAGAAAACCAGCAGCATTCTTTTCTCAGTACAGATTTTATTTCCATTTATTTGCCAGCTTTACCCCATTAAAAAAAGAAATCCATTCATTTCTAGGGGATTCAAGAAAACATACATTTGGAGAAATTACTACAAGACAGGACCTGAGCAGTGCAGCAAACTGCTTCTGGGTGTGACAGCAACGCTGGCGGCACAGCCCAGGCATGGCACAGCAGGGAGTAACATCTGTGCACACACAACAGCAGGCAAAAGCATCCACAACGGCACATTTTGACCATGTTTTCAGTTTATTACAGTCTGAGGAAAAATAACAACAAATGAAAGGAACAAAAGGCATAAGTGCCTCGGCAGCTTCGTGAGCTCCAGGCATCAGCTACAAAGCAGCGCAGTGCTCCCCAGAACGAACCACCACTCGCAGCACACAGCCCTCAGTGAGGCCTTTAAATAGCACTCTGGCTTTAAATGGAATTGTGCAGATTCATTGTAGGATCTGTCACTTCACTTCCCAGCTCTCTGCACGCAGGCAGCCCCGTCACTCTGCCTTAACCATTTCCATGGCTCAACCAGGACCTGCACAGCAGCCTGGAGGTTATCCCACTGAATAGCTCTTGTCCTGGGATCGAGATAGCCCCGACACTACCACCAGGACAATCAGAGGCACTTCAGCTTTACTTTAAATCAAAATGCCCATTCATAAGAAAAAAAACCCTGAAGGGAGATGATTTTTGGCTAGGTATCAGGAGACCTTGAGGCTGAAAAACCTGGAGCTCATCCCCCAGTCCGTCCCCTCAGGATTCATGTGCAAACTGGCCAACAGTGAGGGAAACAGTCCCTGGTGGGAGGACAGCTGCTGCAGAGCATGGTCTGAGCTGGCAGGAGCCAACAGCTTGATGACCTGCACCCTGTTCTCCTTCCTGAGGGCCACAGCCAGCCCTCCAGGACAGCATCCCTGCCCAGCAGCCACCTGGCTCCTGAGCTTGGAATGCCTCTAAAGGCACAATTCTGCAGGGAAAAGCAAATGTGAGTGAGTTGCACAAGATGAGAGAGGGTAAACTGGAAACATAGCTGCTCTTCCTTAGCTCCCATGCAATTCCTGCCTACAGCACAAGAACCACAGTGCTCACAAGGACAGCCTCCACCCTCTGCAGATGAAACCGCATACAAACCAGCCAGGACAACTTCCCTGCACAGTGAAGCATGTTTATAAATAAATACTAGCACAGTTTCAACAGCAAAGGCCAAGCTACTCTTGACTTGCCAGGGAAACTGGAATTCTGCAGCTAAGCAGCCTCATCCAAGCCCCTATTTGATTTATTCCTAAGTCAGCAACACTGCTTGCCCAGAAGGACCTGACTCCCAAGCAGGTACACATGGGCTTCCTCCAGGAGCTGAGGAGCTGATGGATTATTGCTGTCTGCATGCACTGCATAGATGTGCTTGCAGGGAAGTTCCTGAAAGAAAAATCTTCCAAGAAAAAGAATGCCTCCCAACCTATGCACATGCCAATTTCACAGCTCACTTTCACTTTTCAAATTAATAACTTTCACTAATAAATGAACAGAATATTTTTTATTCTTTGTTGTTAGGTCCTTTAACACAGGGATGAGCCAAGACTCATTTTTCCTCTCCTCCCAGCTCTAACCCTTGGCATAGCTCATCCTGGATTAGGTTTTTCCTGAGAGGCATCCTCATGTCAAGCAGCCTCAGGAAGGGAGGAAATATAGCCTCAGTCTTTGATAACCTTTCCTGTACCATATTGGGAAGGAATTCATCCCCGTGAGGGTGGTGAGGCATTGGCATAGGTTGCCCAGAGAAGCTGTGGCTGTCCCATCCCTGTAAGTGTTCAAAGACAGGCTGGACAAAGCTTGGAGGAACCTGGTCTAGTGGAATATGTCCCTGCCATGGGGTTGGAACTAGATGATCTTTAAGGTCCCTCCCAACCCAAACCAGTCTATGATTCTGTGATTCCATATGGTTTTCAAGGCAAGAAAGCCACTGAGTTTAAGGCACTGGGATGACCATGTCCCGCTGCACAGGCAGTATGCCCTGGGGTGCTTTGACTGACCCGAGAGGGCTCCTGGCCCTGCCAGGCATCCTTCAACCACTCAGTGGAACAGACTCTCACCTGCAGATTCAATAAGGTACCAATAACTTCTGCAGGTCTCAGTAGCAGCTCACAACAATTTGCAACCTGTTATTCCAAGGATAACACAGTGGATAAGCTAAACAGAAAGAATCTTCCTTGCAGCAGTAAGGCCTCAGCTTCTGTTTCAAGATGAGGTGTGACTGTAGTGATTGCTTTGAAGAATGTTTTTTGTGTGTAAAACAGAATACCATTCCTCTAATGAGGTTTCAAAGTGGTCTTCAAGGCAAAGGTATAAAACCCCTTTAGACTTCAGAGGCAGTTTTTAAGCCCCTTAAAAAGGGGCTGCTAGAGGAGGTGAGCAGCAGTGGAGAAAGGATCACCTAATTTCAAATGTTTTACATTAGAGCTGCTTTGCTGAAGAGAAAAAAAAATAACCTGTTGTCGTCTTAAACACAAGGCAAGGCAGAGAGAAAACAAGACAAAATAATTAAAGCCCTCCCCAAGCTGGAAGGCAGCACAACAGCAGATGTCATATCACCCAGACAGCAGAGCCTCATGGTTACCCAGTTCGGTAGGAAATGTGCTGTTTTGTCCCTAATAAGAGCTCCCACTAGGATGAGACTGAAGAGATATGAGCTGGTGGGGTGGAGGCAGGGGAAAGGAGACTAAATAACCTGCTCTGTTGGGTGTTCCTTTGTTCCATGGCATTTGGTTCATCCCATGTTTGCAGCAATCAGGCTTTTCGGTGTTTATGGCACCCCTTGGTCCACTGCTGATGCTGGGGCACGTCTGCCTGTCGGTGCAGAGCACTCTGCTGTGCAGTGCTGCACGGGGCAGCTGTGGGGGAAATACTGGCTCTGCAGCCCACAGAGCAGCTGCAGTTGTGTCTGAGCAGCCCAGGCAGCTTGGACACGGCGAAGGCACCGGCCACAGTGTCAGCCTGGCAGCTCATCTGCCCAGAGCCAGATCATCGCCCACCCCAGTTGTCTGTGCTGACTGACAGCTGCCTGCAGTGCTGCCCCTGCAGCCCCCAATCTCTCTCGGGTGTTTCAGGACCAGTTGCTCTCCTACCAGCAATGGCCATGAAGACGCAATGTCTGTTTTTGAGATCTGACTGGTGTCTCCCTCTGTGTGGGGCTGACTTGGGTCCCAACCATGCTTCAACACCAGAGGAAAAAACATTCTATCAGAAGAGTGAAATCAGGGTACTCTGAGCACTTTTTCACTGCTCACGGCCCTGTACCCAAGTGCCCCTCCTTGCTACTCTATCAGCAGAGTGCTGTACTGGAAGGACATACAGTTGTTACAAGAGGATTTGCTTTGGGGGAGATCATAGATCACCTTCCACTAGCCCAGGTTCCTCCAAGCCCTGTCCAACCTGGCCTGGAACACTTCCAGGGATGGGAAGTCCACAACCTTTCTGTGCAACCTGTGCCAGTGCCTCACCACCCTCACAGGGAACAATTCCTTCCCAATATGCCATTTAACCCTCCTGTCTGCTTAAAACCACTGCCCTTTGTCCTCTCACTGTCTGTCTGTATAAAAAGTCCCTGACGATGACATTTTAATAACATGTATTAAATTTAAAGCTGGAAGACAATTTTCAGTCTGTTTTGAGAAAACCACTTCAAATGACTGAAAATTTTGCATGGGATCTTCCAGTGCTTGGTAACTTGTGCTGTAGCTTCAGCCTTTATTCCAATGACATTTGATTTGGTCTGGAAATCTCCAGACTGAATTCAGTCAGTGAGTGAAAAGCCACAGAGTCTTTCTCACCAGGTACAGGGCCATGGTCTCCCCAAGCTCCTGAGGCTCCTCTGCAGTAACTGAAGAACCTTCCACTTAAAATGTCATCTCTCAACACCATTTTGGAACTGCTGTACCCTCCACGCAGAAGGGGACAGCCACTGGCACTAACCTGGGCAGCAGCAAGCTGAGAAACTCCAAGGTGCTTCACCTGCAGCCCCAGCTCCCTGCCTCTCAGGAATTTTAGTCTTACGAAGGTTTCTACAAGTTTCTCAGGTTTCAACTCAGAAAAGAAAAACATGACATCAACACATAACACTATGAACAACCTCAGGCTCTTTAAGAAAGCATTTTTGTCCATAAAATGCCCCATGTCATGGCACTTAAATCTCTGCAATGTATCTTGGAATACTTCAGTTTCTTACACATCCAGACTGTAATACCAGGAAAGGGAAAGCTAAATAAATCTGAAACATCTTGGTAATCTGAAGTGCTTTAGGCCAGACATTCCAGTCCCTGGGACACTCCATGAAGGGTCTGCCCCAACTCCAGGGCATTCAAACCAGGGCCAGCAGCTGAGTGTGATCAGGAACAAGGCAGGCTGGGACAAGGCACTGACAGGGAATTAGAAGACAAGTCAAGGATGAGGCAGATGCAAAGGGAATTGGCACCCATAAACTTCACAGGTGCCAGTGCTCACCTGAGCTCAAGCAGTGAGTACAAAGGATCTAGACAAAATAGACAGTTCCAAGATGCAGATCCATTTCTTAGTAAGGCTTTGAGTGCTTGTGTTTAAGTGCTTTTCTTAAATTATCACAAAAGACAGGCTGGCACTCTTCAGACAGTTGTGATCCTTCATTCCAGTATAAAACACATATGCAAACATGGCTTCAGACCCATGATCACTTAGGAGATCATTTTAAAGCATGTATTAAAAATATTTTTCTTATCCAAATGATAAATATTTTAAAATAAGCATTTACAAAAATAAATGGTCCATTCCCAGAAGGAAGGACATATACAGCTGAAATTCTGAATACATCTGGCAAGGCAATTACTGACGAAGCTAGTTAATAAAATCTTTGGTATGAGTATAGGACATTGATATTCATGCACCGTTGGCTTCCCTTGGCAGGTGTATGCAAAGAGGCAGCTTTTCCTTAACTTCTTGATATGTCTTCCAAATACAACATACAAATCTTTCTAACATGTCTTCGTATGATAATAGGAGAAAAGCCCAAGATTCTCCTGGCTCTTCCTATGACTTTCGTATCTAAAACAGAATGAAGATGGGAGGAAGAAAAGAAAATGAACAGTTAAGTTTCATTGTAGCTATGAAGCAGCTCCTGCAAAGAAATACAAATCAACTGAAAAGAACTCTAGAGGAAAGCTCATTTCCTTCAGTGTTGTAGAAATTAACTGCCAAGAGAGGATAACAATGAATCTGTTTGGATTCTTTGCTGCGGGTTCAGACAGGAAGATTGGTGAGTTAGGGAAGGAGCAGCTTTACACTTGAGCACAGCAGCAGATGGTGCAAGCCTGGACCCGGGTCTGGTGGCCCTGTTACACATGGGGCACTGAGATACTGCAGAGGGGCAGGGAAGAACCTCAAAAAACTGGATAAAAAAAGAGCCTTGGAATAAAAGAGTTGGGGAGTTTAGTTGGCAATTTTAGCAAAAATAAACACAGAGCTGACTTGAGGCACAAGGAGCTCCACAGGGAGAAAACATGCAAAATATGCAGGCACAGAAACAAGGGGCAAGGGGCTCTGCAGTCTGGTAGAGAAAGGCTGAACAAAAATGCTAGGCTGGACCTGAAACCAGTTCAAACTCAGAGTAATACCCTCACTTCTAATGCTATGGACAGGCAACTGAGATACATGAAAATTAGGGTTTCTCTCTTTTTTTTTTTTTTTTTTATCAGTCCCTGAGTGTTTTCCTGAAAATGCTTCTATTAAATTCAGGTGACTGAACATGATGAAGGGAAGAGATGGCAGCTAAGGAAACACATGGGTTGGGCTCAAAGGTCTATGAGTTCCTTTTCAGCTTTAAATCCTGACTCCTTGGACAGTCCAGCTGAGGGATTCTTATCTAGGAATGAAGCACAGAGCCCAGACTTCAACATCACCTGAAAAGTCCATAAACTGGTGCTACTGTGACCTACAACTCTGGGGAAAAAAGCAGTAAAGAACAATGACCAATGGTAACTGCTGTGACCTGGGTACGAGGAGCAGAAGGCACTAATGGAAAAGAGACTTTGGATCCCCAACTAGTGCAAGAAGACTCTAGAGAAAGTAACACCCCGAATCAACTCCTGTCTCCCCCAATCTCTCCCACTGCTGCTGACTCACTGCTGATCCAAAGCTCATCCATGTGGACACATCTATGCACTTTCTGCTCAGAGCTGTCACCCTCACCACAAATGCTGGGTGAGTAGAAGAGGAGCAGGAGCTCTGCTCCACTGGCTCCTGTGGAGCAGGTGACTGTCAGGTGACAGAGCCAACACACAGAGCCAGCAACAGGGGCAATGGCTATAGCTGCTCAGGCTCAGTAAATCAAGCCAGAATCTTCTGGCCCTGACACTGGCCAAGCTGTCACCAGCTTCCAAGTGGTCTGGAAGCCAGAAGGTTTGGTCTGTCTCATGACTCCTGGGAATCATGACCCATTGCTATAGCAACAGGAGCTCACATGACTACTGTCTTTAAAAAGAGCCCCTATTTGTGGCATCCTCTGTAGGCAACGATCCATTATTTATACCTCAGCATGTCTGCAGCGCAATTTGTATCCTGACCTCATTAATGAATGATGACACCTTGACCCGCTCTGCTCAGTAAGCCATGTCACATCAGGAGCCATGCTGCTCTCCAGCCCGTGCTCAGGGAAGGCAGCCAGGAGAAAAGCCCCCAGAGTAGCTTACCTGAGTTACAGCAATACCAAAACAGGGCAAACCCTGCAGCCACACTGAAACAGGCAAGGAAAAACACTGGGCCTAGAGAAAATGGGAAAGGAAACACATTGAGACACAACAGGACAGTGTAAGTTTAGCTCAGTTCATAAATCATCGATAGCTATTGATATGCATAATTAAGCATATTCAAATGAAGCAACACATTCCCAATTCTGTATGTTCTGTAGCTAATGTACTATGAAGCACATTTACTAGACTGCAATTAATTTTTACTATGGTTGCTTTGTCATCACTCCCTATTCCCCTCTGCTTATCCAACTATAGCCTATGGAATTTAAGGGAAAGCTTCCTTAGATGTCTCCTTGCTCTAAAACTTTGTGCAAATCTCCCTTTAAACACTACCACAAACATTAATCAGCCTGCTGGGTCCTCAGACAGAGTGAGGCAGTGCAGGAGGCCACAGCCCCTCACAGGTACATTGTTAGGGTTTTGTTTATTCCCCACAGATGTTCCACAAACTCCACTCTCATGACAAGAGAAAATATTCTTGTTACTGACTACAGCTCTGCTGGGAGCTGAGATTCAGAGCCACATGTGCACCCCAAACAAATCCCCCCTGGAAACTGCCTGCCTGGAATTACACATGGTTTAATGCTGATGGTCAGTATTGATGTTCAATAAAACCTTTCTAATTGTAACTGTACTTAGCCACGTACAAAACCTGCTTCTTTATTACCTAATATTCTATTTGTATTTACTGCTTCACTAGGAATAGAGCCACAATGAAACTGCACCTGACAATTTAAGGACAGGTGCACTGCAGATAGACAAATTCTTGGAGCTGACCACATGGACAAGGACACTGGAGAAACAGCAAAGCACCAAGGATTTGGCTGCTCCTTGGGATGTAACCTCCCAGTGAGGGTGGCTAGTGGCTGGATAACCTCCAGTCTGCAGCCAGTTCTTTCCAGTAAGAATCAAAACTATTTAATTCTCTTACTTCCAAGCACTTTCTCTGTTCCTCCTGTACTGTTATGCTGCAGTCAGCAACAGTGATGTGAAAAATCTGAGCAGCAATTTGGTTCAATATTCAAAGAAACACTGCCACAGGCAGAGTATACATTGAGATAAACTGTGCTTCTGCCCTTTGTTTAAGTTTTCTCTCAGGAAACTGGCAAAAAGGCATAATTCATAGAAGGTGCTTTTATTTTCTCATAACTGTATCCAAATTTCTAACTAAAATATCAATTACACTTAAATTATAAAATATTCATTATAAATCCAGAAAATTTTTCACCTTTCTTTCAGATCTTCCTTTTAAAAATATCCCACAGTGAATAAAATAATTGTCTCTGTAAACTGGGCATTTAACAAAGGAAGGTGAAAACAATTAACATGTTTTCCTAAGGAAAATTCATTTAAGTTCATCCTTCCTTTCTGTCCTTGCTTTCAAATGATTTGTACTTAAATTGAAAGCTTAAAAAAACTGAAAACAATGGAAAGTCATGTTGAAAAAATATATTGATGGCCTCATGCAAAATTGGAGCAGCAGCTGAATAGACCTTACTGTTCAAGCACTGAATGAAGGGCTCAAGCAGGAAATGAAGAATTTAGCTGTAACAGTTAAAGTAAAAATACCACTGTAAATATTGATTAAACTCTAGTCTCTTCAATTTCCTGGCACTAGTTTCCTCAACAGCAGCTCAGTACATTTTCCTCCATTAATTCCACTTAGCTTGTGACAGTAAAGACATCATAAACCAAAGTAGTTGTTACATGAAATGCAAATTACATGATAAAATAAATTGCATCATAATTTGCAAAGCCATTCCATCCGGTGACACTGTATGATTTATTTACCCCTGTCATTTAGCATATATTGCTCCTTGTCAGTGTCTATCTCTGTGGGATCTGGGGTTTCTAGAAATAAAAGCAACACATGAGAAGTTAGTACTCAGCTCAAGCAAACAAACAAACATAATCAGCACATGCAAAATGCTGCAAAACAACATATTTCAGAAAAATATCCAATATTGGCATAAAGGATTAACCCCTCCAAAGGTAAATCACCACTAAAGCTGGAGATATGCTGATCAAAAGACATAGGCACACAGTCATCTGAATGCAGCTACAAACAGCTGCAGCCCCATCTCTGATCTGCTGAAGCACTGACCACATAAATAACATCACACTCATTTTCCAGGTGAGGAAAGCATGAGCTAATACTTCTATAACGCCAGTAATTTTCATGGTAATAAACACAAAGTATTTGTTCACAGATATGCTAATCTGAAAATACATCTGTCGTTTAATATATCACCACTGTTTGTTCTTCAGCAAATCTCTGGGCAGTGATGTATTTAGCAGATGAAGCACTTGGAAAAATCTCTTGGTGCAGATTATCTACTCAAATTCAGGTCTCAGCTAAAGACATGCCTCAGCCCCTCTGCAAGGCTGCAGCTCCTACATGCTAACATATAATCTTTGCCTCTGTCCTGCAAATTCTAGTAGAAAAGGAGGTTGGCCTTAAGCTACGGTGTTCAGTAGTTTGCAGCAATAAAGTAGTTTCTGCTCTGGGCAGAAAGACCTGCAGCTCTTTCAGAGCAGCCTGTGCCACACAGGTGTGGAGGTAACACTGTCCACAGAATGGGTGTGCAGCACCAGGAGCACCAGATATGGCAGAGGGTTGACTGTACTCAACACATCACCACTCTGCAAAACAACTTTTTTACCTCAACCTCTTTGTGGTCATAGAATCACAGAATCATAAAGGTTGGAAAAGACCTCTAAGATCACCAAGTCCAACCATCAAAGGATTAAGAGGGTTAAAAAAGGAAAAGAAAAAAGTGAGAGCTCCAAATCTGACTGTCAGTAGGGAAGAATTTGAGACTGTTTGGTTTCAACTCATCTTCTTCTTCATGTGACATCTGAAGCTAGGTGAGGTGCCTTGGAAAACTGCCCTGTCCACCCAGGCAGCAATGGGACCTGCTGTCTGGGGAACATGGATCTCCCATGCTAATTAGGTCCCTCTCAGTGGAGGGACAGGGCATGGCACTGGAGCAGGACACAACCATCTGCAGC